AAATGCAGATGGTGTGACAGTGATGTACTGGTATCATCGCCAGTTTATCGAAACAGCACGTCAGAGGTACCTCAACGACGATAGCCTAAAGAAGAAGCTCCACAAGACTTGCGCTGAATATTTTGACGGCACCTGGTCAGGTGGTCGGGAAAAACCCTGCCGATATTCTGCTCTGCAGATCGAGCGTTTCGGAGTTCCAGCAGAGGCGAAAGAAGACCGTAAAGTTTCAAGTCAACCCCTGACTTTCGCAGTGAACCCAAATGAAAGTGAAGGTATGGTGACCTTCAATCTTCGAAAGCTCACCCAACTACCGTTCCATCTGATGGAAGCCGAAGAATGGGATGCACTTAAGACATCCGTACTTTTTGACTTTGACTTTTTGCTTACCAAGGTGAAGGCCCTGTCAATGGAAGATGTCTTGGCCGATTTCTCCAAAGCAGAAGAGAAGGTAGATGATGTAGAAATTAGCATACTATTCGGAGCCCTGCGGCTTTCGTCGTCCGTCATTTCAGATAATCCAGATCAATTAGCACCCGAGGTGATAGGAAGACTGATGGATGCTGCCTCTAAATTCCCAAGGATGGAATCGCTTCTCAAGCAAGCTAAAATTGCAGGGAGTCTGTCTCACCCACTACTGCCATTGAGCACATGCCTTCAACCTCCTGGTGGAATGATGCTGACGTCACTTGAGGGCCACACTGGGGAAGTCGTTTCCTTAGCAATCACAAGTGATTCACGGTTGGTTGTAACCGGTTCGAAGGATAACACGGCTCGCATCTGGCAGATAGAAAATGGCACATTGGTGCACATATTGACTGGTCATAGGGAAGCCGTCTATGGCATCGAAATTACACCAGACGATCAGAGTTGTGTGACGTACACCCACAATGGGGAGTACATGAAGTCAGGCAAAATATGTGTCTGGAATATGGAAACAGGAGATCTGATTCACCGACTAAAAGGGCATACAGGTAAAGGCCAATCGAACCTGGCAATCACTTTGGATGGAAAATACGCTGTCAGCGGTCTACAGACAACAGTCAGCCACGATGATAATAACGAAGACACGGACCACGAGGAGGACGAAATCATAACTGACTCAAAGAAAAGACACAAAGAAGAAAAAAGGAAAGAGTTGATAGCCTGTGAGTACCAAGACTGGGATGAGGAGGTATACGATGATGAAAGTCGAGACGTCGTGGTCATTTGGAATTTGGAGTCTGGACAAATCATGCACTGGTTGAATAAGCATACAGGTTAGTCATACTAAAAGTTCAGAAAAATGGTAGGTTAAAAAAAATGAAATGCACTTTGATTTTAATAAAATTCTGATGAGAATTTAACTGCCTTTTCCCAAGCCTATTCAAGTCAATATGCTTAACACGAAATTGCTTGAAGATTGCTTACTTTGACTTTATACATCCTTCCAGATGAAATAAAAGGTGTATTGACGACAGAGATAGCTGGCCGACAAGTAGCCATAACGTTCTCCGAAGATCACACTCTTGTTCTTTGGGACATCCTGAAAGGTGAGATGATTCGTGAAATGACAGATGCAGACGACTTTCCTATCTTGAAGGTGGTACTGTCCGAAGATAGACGACTTCTTGCCGTGCATGGCTATGAAATCTCACTGCACAGCTTCCCTGATTGCGAGTATCTAGGAGACGCTAGAGACCCTGAGTCGAGCTCCACTGTGGAAGCCATGTACATCACCAAAGATAACACTCGTGTCATATCTGGACACACTGCTGGTGTCGTGAGAACATATGGAACTGGGAATAATACAGAGAGAACACTCCTCGGACGACAGGATTGCTTTGAAAGAGACGGCGAACTAACCAGCATGGCTATTACTCCGAATGAAAGGTAGGCCTAATCGGGTGTTCCCCCCCCCAAAAAAAAAATAGTTAAAAATGATTTATTTTATATCAATTAAAGTTAACAAATGTTTCCGACGGAAAGCTTCACTTGAAGTTCATGTTGCTTTACGAATAAATTTCCCATTACCTAATACAACTAATTTTTCCATCTGTCTAATGGAGGTTTGAAGAGATTCTTGCAAGTGTTGCAGTCACCGAATAATTCGTAAATCATAACACAACTATTTGTGTTTTCTACTTCTTTCGGATTTCTTTGTAGCTCAGAACTTGTTGAAACTGTTGCTTATTTTAGAGGACAATTTTTTCATTAACTGTGCAGTTTCAGAGCTTATAGATTCACAATTTAATAAATTTATTTTAATAAAAATAACTTCAGTTGAAATTGTGCAGTGTACCTCAGTTTATTTTCCAACAAGAGACACTCGTGTCTGATTTCTCATTTGTAATCAAGATTATCTCCGAAATGCATCATCATATTGAAATGAAGTCTCCAGGGTTGAAAAGATAAAATTCCAAGCTTAAATTTGATACAGGAGAGATTATCTGAAAATTGCTTTGGAAGCAAATAAATGATACTTCTGGGTTCCATTCTTATAGGGCACACTGTATACACATTTTTGCTTATTTTATTGATTCACTTAGTTTTAAATATTTAAGCGTCCTAGTCAGTGCGTTGGCATAAAAAACGGACAAAATCATCTGCACATAACAGACACATATTTCTGCGCCTTTTTTGTAACAAAAGTATGTGGAAGAAAGAAGTGAACAAGTTTTCCCTTTCGAGTTTAGCAACAATCTTCATTTTTCCATTCTTGCTTTCACAGGTACGTGGTTGCTGCATTTAAAACGTCAGAAGCTGTAGTTCTGAATCCTGAAACATTGGAAGTAGAGGCCAAATTACAGCACATCCAAAACGTGTCGACTGTTGCTGTGACACCAGATGGTTCCAAGATTCTCACAGGATCAGAGGACAAGAACGTCCGCATCTGGGATGTTACTAATCTCAAAACGTCCAACTCGAGGGACGAGCCAGAACTGCCGATCAGCAAACACGACGGTTGCACATATGAAGCACTGACCTTAAATTCTGACGACAAAGTTATCACAACGGGAAGTGATAAAACGATCAAGCTGTGGGATGTACGGAGTGGGAAGTTGATCAAGTCCATCAAGGATCCAATGGAAGATACTTGCTATGCTGTGGCTATAAGTAGAGACGACACCTTCATGGTAGGGTCCAGCAGCGGATGGTACGTCCTCACCTTGCCTGACTTTGTGCTCCTGCGCAAATTCAAAGAACTATGGATAACACCCTCTCATTGTGTGATCACCCCAGATAACAAAAGACTAGTCGCTGGGCTTGGACAGCCCAAGTTCGAAATCCGATTCCTCCATCTGGAAACAGGGCAGACGCTTCAGATCATTAATTTGAGATCTACTGCTTTTCGCATGCTAAGACATGGAGTGTTCATCAATCAGTACACGATTGGAATGTACGACTCCTTAGGAAAGACCAAGACACTCGAGCTCATCGATAGTGACCAAGGGCGCGTGATAGGTGAGCTCAAACATGCTGATCAGGTCTTATCAATTGCTGTCTCGCCAAACGAAAAGAGTCTCGTCGTTGGAAGCAACGACAACGATGTCGACCTGTGGAATCTCACCACATTCTCAAAAATAGCCTCCATGAAAGGACACACAGGACGCGTCAAGACAACAGCATTCTCTCCCGATGGAAACCTCACAGCAACTGGGGCCGACGGCGGTGAAATCATCATCTGGGACGTCCAGTCACAGTCACTGAAGCATTTCCTAAGACGGGCGCATGAATCTGATGTCTCAATTGTGATATTCAGTCCCGATGGCCGATTCTTGGTGTCAAGTGGACAGGATGACAATTATATTCAAGTGTGGGACACCCAGACCGGCAGACACTTGATGAAGTATCATACCTATGCCAAGACTAGTTCCATAATAATGTCAGCTAAATGTAACACTGCCATTATAACACTTCAGGATGGAAGAGTAGCCTTCCTAACATTCTCAACCAGCATCCGATTATCAACCACCAGCAAGAAATCAGCACCTGCCTCAGTCACTGGTATCTCAATCAGTCTGAATTCCCCAATGACCGGAGGGAAACAGCCTCAATTCCGACAACAGATGCTGGCGGCGCGTGAAATTCGGACCCCAAATCAGCCGCGTGAAAGCAAAACGTGTCAAGTTCTATGAACCTGTGATTGTGAAACGGAGTATTGCCGTCAAAATTGAGTAACTTTGCAAACTTGAAATAGATAGAAGGGTTAGATAGTCATCCCGGCTCCTTAACTTTGACAGGCGCATTGGGAGTAATTAAAACGAAAACTTTTGTTTGGTCTCGAATGGCTATGCGACGTTAGCTGGGAGTTTTGTGTCTCAGTCGCGCCACAGTTGGAGGGTTCAATCGAAATAAAACCGACGAACAGAAAACCTTCAGCACAAAAATGAAGGGAAAAAGACTTTTACCCACAGCATCATGCAGACATACTAACGCCAAAGGTGAAGAAAAGAGAGGGTCACGATAATACTTACCCATGGACTGTTAATGTTGGAATAACTTGGTTCACTGGCTTGACAACCATACACTATCAATCACCGAGGGAAAACAATTTGACAACAGATAATCACTTTTTGAATGGATAAAATATGATTAATAATGGTTAATTAATTATACGCATTTAATTGAAATTTGAGCACTTTACACCCTTTTGGCACTGTACTTCTGGGGGGTGGGTGAGAGTAATATCCCTGAAATTTTATGTTTGTCTTGATTTGGTTTCTTCCTGTAATTTTCTAGAAGTGTGTTTTTCAACCCAAATTGCTTGGAATCTCCGCAGACCTCCACACAAGTAAACGTATGCTCTTTGGTACAGTCAATGCTACCACACTGCATCAGCGAGAGTGTTGTCCTCTGTATTGTCTACAGCTAAGCAGCAAGCACTTTCATAGCAATAGTACAACCTTCTGGCAGTCTGGTACAATGCACGAACTCTTGGAGTTTTATAGTCAGCGTAGTGCGCTCGCTAAAAACCACGCTGCGTCGACAACTCCCGAAAAAAAAAATAATTCGCTCAGTGACTAAAATGCATAAAGGGTTTTTGACGCTGTTCTCTATGAAACGCTTTTGCATTCACTGGATGTCTGTGAGGGGTCGATATCATTCAATAGAAGAAGTGTTCGTTGACAGGAACGTCACCATAGAGACGGATCCTGTGTCACAACGCGTTGGCCCGCAGTGGCAACAATGAAACATGCAGTATTTGACCTTTATATGCATGCGAACTTCACTACAGACCAGGTGCTATAGGGCTGAGGTGCCTGACATACTGTCGTCACGTGATTTCCGTTTATTTCCTAGTACATGTTTGGTGTTTTGCATTTAAAAATATGGCGCTGAGCAAGGAAAGAACCGAATGGACAGACGCAGAGCTTGCAGTCCTATGTGGTGATTTAAGTCGAGAGTTACCAAGGCAACGTTCCAAGGTCGTGCGTATATTCACCAGTTCAACCTTCACAGGTAAAATATTGTATTTTGATTCACTCCTGTCAGGCATGCGAAAACCTGTACATTAGACATGACGCAGTGACGCTGCTTCCCCTATTTGACGAGGCCGATAACATGAGCGTCGCAAGGGGAGGGGAAGCGGGGTGCTCCCTCCATACACAACACCCTACGAAATGGGGAGAGGGATCGAGAACTAACAGAAAAGGAAAGAAGTACAAAAGAAATAGAAAAGCAATGGAAATCTCAAATTTCCCTGAATATGCCTCGAAATTGACCCAATAAATATATTTATTATTTATTTTTTATATTTTGCCAATTTGTTACTATTGTTTTGCCCCGTCCTTTGGAAACAAAGAAAGACCCCTCCTTGCGACACCCAAGGGCAACGGCCAACGTGCCATCCTGCATTTGTTTTGACGTATTATTGGTGAAAGGTGTTTAATGCATTCAGTTTGAGAGATTTGGGACAGCCAGGTCAACTTGGCAAATTGTTATTGCACATAATGCACTATGCTTCTGAAAAGGAAAATAAATTAGTCATGCCGAACGGGAGAGAGGCTGCAGGTACTCTAAAACTGTGATTTGTCTTGTCTGACAGTTTTTTTTCTCATCTTTTTTTCTGCGAGATTTTCAAGTGGCACATCTAGACCTTCTCTTTTACTTGTAGTACACGTATTGCACTTTTCAATGTTCCTTGAATACTCTTTTTAATATGGCATCTTGTGACTAAACTTTCGATATTGTTCCTGTTGAAGTCATAGGACTGTTGAGTTGCTTCTCTTAAAAAGGAACCATAACAAGCAATTTTGCCTTGCCAACTGAAGTAGGCTTTTTCTACAAGTTGGAACCCTTCCAAATTCCAATTTCCTTTCAAATATCAGTGCAGCAGAAAATCATGGATTGCCCGAAGTCGGCGATCATTCGATTTACTTTACACAGGGTGTTACCAGTGGCGTGACTAATGGGCACAGGCATCTGCCCATCCTTCTTCGAAGTTCGTACCCCCCCCAAGTTGAATAAAATATTCACATGAATTTAATATCAAAATACCAGAATTGATATGAGGATTCCAGCTAAAAAGCAAATGCTTGTACTAAGTCTGGAACCTGATAATAGTGATATCACTGTAAACAAAGTAAGTCATTTTGGGCTCAAAATGACTAATAGTTGGGTCTCGATTACTAAATCAAGACAGGAATAATATTAAGTCAACAGTGCACTGACTTTGGTCAAATTTGACTAGTCTTGGACGAATAAATGTCGGTCATTGGCCTGTCTGACTACTTTAAATTGGTCATTTTAGACATAGAGCTGGACTAACTTTTATTAGTCAAAGTGAGTAATTTTTGTTTACAGTATACTGATTTCCTTCAAATCAACATGCATCTTAAAGAAATGCCCTCTCCCTGAGTTCAGTGATTTAAAGTTTGGGCTGGCGAGCCTACGTCTACTATAAAATTGACAAAGGAAGTGGACACATCAGAAATCTAAATATTTTTTTTTGCTTTGGAGTGTTTAACAGGTACAAAAAAAACACGCTTAAAAACTCAAGGGGGAAATCCCTATGATTATTTAGTACACTTAATCGTTTTTGCTAATTGCTCTGCACAGACTCGTTGTCATGGAAATTCTATTCCACGTCGGTATATCACCGTGTTTGTTTCACGGTCTGGTATACGTCTCATTGTATATGCTCAACACAAGCAACTTAGCTCGTCGCCCAGCCCCCGGACAGGGCGCTGGGAATGGCTGACGGCCTGGCACAGATTTTAGTGAAGGAAACACGTCACAAGGGGGTCACAGCTAACGACACGTAGAGCACTGTGGATAGATATCTGCCACCCGCGTGATCTCGCTCAATGCGTTACACAAATAAGCGGTGGTTATCAGTTTGATACTTTTTGTTATCTTTCCCATTTCTGAAAAATTCTCAGTACACTTTATTCGTTGATCCAAAATTGATCAAAATAACCAATGGTTGGAATTCATCTCCAAAAGACACGTGATCAGTAATACTTGGTGAGAAAATAAATTACCACACTGTGATTGTACGTTTTTGTATGTTTTTATCATATGGCCCACACTTTGCCCGTGCCAAAGCATCGCCATTGGTGAACCAAACAACTTAAATAACGCTCGATAACAGGAAGTGATAACCTCGTGGTCACAGGTCGCGTCCAATGTAGCCAATCATGTGCAGTGCAAAGCCATCAGCCCTTCCCAACGCCCTGTTCAGGCGCTGGGTGACGAGCGAACCAAGCAACTTTACCCGCCCTCTTTTGTCAACCAGTCAGAAGCCGTATAATTAATAAGGGGCGCACTTTTGGGATTTTTGGAATGTGCGTTGTCGTGGTGGCGATATTTTTTAAATATTCCATAAAAAAATGGTAGGGTAACCAGACTTGAATAAAGGCTACAATCGCGGATACGGGTAATTGTCTTTTTTCGAAGAGGTAAAGTCCAACATTTCAGCAGGGGAAGCTTCGACAAGGCGTGAAGACTAGTGTCCATTCCAAACCTGCAATAAATTCATTTCCCATTGGGAAGTACATGGCGCATCCCCAGAATCTGGAGCAATAAATATATTGCGGCCTTGTATGCCTCGTTAGTACGATGTAAGTAAACGCTGTGTTAATTTTGCCAAGGGTATTGAAGGAGTTACTAAACTTTAATACTGCAGATTAAAAAAACTTTCGATGTGAATGTCTTGTTGAATTCATAGATTTAAGTGTTTTTTCACAGTCAAGTTTCTTTTTCAAGCATGCTTAATTGACAAGTGCATGGCAGATATCAATGAGCGACTACGGGCATCTGCTTTGTCTTAAAACTTGATTACTGAATCAAAAGTCACAGAATGTAACTAAAGGAGCCTTAAGTTTTACGCAGAAATCAATGTCACAGGACGAAATAAAGAAGTCACATTAAACATAGAAAAAGATATTAACACACTAAAAAAACCAAAAAAAAAAAATAGCATGAGAATCTACTTGAAAAAAGGCTGGAAGATTTCTTTGAGGTACGCAAGTGCTAAATAAATAAATTCTGTTGTATTTTTAATGCGTACGTAACACACAAAAATGTGAAATATTTTCACTCTAAGCTGTTCTCATCGGCAATTAGAGGTAGTAAGAACTGATGTTATAGTTTGTCTCTTGCAAATTATGCTAAACCATATCTCATGTACTATTCCCTAGTAAGACTGAGCTAAAAAGTTAAAATTTGTTGCTTCCAGATTTTCTCAAACTCAATTTACTCAAGACCATCGCAAACTAAAAAGTGCTTTTCGCAATAGGTATATGGGTCTATACATTTTAACCACAATCGTTTCCTCAGTAAAAATCATTCCGGTTTTAACAGACACATCTGTAGAACGTAACGCCCTGATGAGGGAGACGTACCCTCGTCTGAAGGATTACTGCAAGTCTCGCCATGGATTAGAGTTCCAGGTCATTGACATGCGATGGGGAGTACGGGACGAAGCGACAGATGACCACATGACGTCAAAATTATGCATGAGGGAAATTGCTGCCTGCCAGCGCCTTTCAGTGGGACCAAACTTTGTAGTGAGTCTAACCAACATTTATGAAAGCTTTCGTGTAACTTTAGCTCATGTACATATTTCATTTCATAAGGCGTTTTTATGGGAAAAAAACGGTTCCGATGGCATTATGGCCTCAGCCACTTTAAATGAGCTTTTATCTATATTTTAATAAAATTGTGTCGAGTGAGTACATGGGACATTTTGTACATGTATTTAACTTCAGCTAAAAATAATGCAGAAGCCCACTTTCCAACATGTAGCTCCAATCTTAAATACTATAATCCGTACAATTTTCAGACGTTTCTCTGCCAAAAGTATGGATACCGACCTTTCCCGGCAAAAGTTCAAGGCGTTGAATTCAAAATACTACGGCAATGTTTGACCGACAACGGAATGCCGATCGAAACGCTCGACGAGTGGTTTATCTGTGACGACAACTGCATACCACCCGTGTACGTCCTACAGCCAATCAGTTCCAGACTGCCATACTTCAATCGCCAGGACGATCCAGAGAAAATGAGGGCGCACAAGACAGAGTGGTGGAAAACCTTCGAACTTCTCCAGGGGCAGCTGCGCTTTGCAGCTAACGAGGCAGAAAAACAGGGACTGCTGACGGCAGACCAAGCAAAGAATTACAAGATTTCAGGTTCGCAAACCTAAAAAGAGAGTTCAGGAGATTCCAGTAATCTTTATCTATTTTATTAATTCAATTGGGAGAAGGGGCAACCAGGAGTTACGGACCTCCAAATGGAGGGCAAGTCCTCCTCCCGGGGCTGTGCCATGCACTGGTCTGTTTTATTGTAATAAGTAGTGTGGCCCTCTTTATGTTAAGTATTTTATGGTTTATTTTTACCCAATAGTAACCCACGACGAAGTTAATCATGGCCTTGTGGATACGCCGTCCGACGGAAAGGAGCAGTGTTTGTGTTTCATCCGAAAGTTCGTCGACTTGGAAAGCAAATATGAGGCGGGAGAAGCCTCAAAGTTCCTCGACCTTCAGGACGGAAAGGTAGACATCGAGGCAAGGGAATTGCTCTCCGATCTGCGTGACAAAGTCACCCAAGTACTTCCCCCATCCAATATAATTGCGACCGATCTGGGAGACTGGACGAAGGACGGGGTTAATGTCAAGAATGAGAAGCATCGTGAGTATATCAAAAGCTTCTTGGATACTTTCTATACCAAGATGGTAAACATGGTCGAGATCGGTATCTCAAAGGAGAAGCTTGCCAGTCTGGAAGATCCCTTACATCAGGAGATTCTGCAGCACTTGTCTTTCTGTCTAACCAAATGCGTTGGATTCCAGGGCAGGGATGACATTATTAAAAATGTGCGAGACTACGTTATACAACGAGCAAAGGGTGACGGTGGAAAAGATGGTATTCCAATGGTGTTATATGGTGAGTCGGGAAGTGGAAAGACCTCCATTATGGCAAAATGTGCAGCACTTGTTAAGCAGTCATGGCTTTGTGGCACCGGCACTGTTATGGTGTTACGATTCCTTGGAACAAGCCCAAATACTTCTTCAATTCAACGAGTTCTGACAATGGTGTGCAAACAGATCTTGCTGGCCTACGACAAGAAGGGTTTCCAACTTCCTACTGAGTACAACAAATTGGTGGCAGCCTTTAGTAAAATCATGAAATTTGCTACAGCGGAAAAGCCTCTTGTCATTTTTCTGGACTCACTTGATCAATTATCAAGTGAACACGGTGCTCATCGTTTGGTTTGGCTTCCAAAGGCATTGCCAGCGTACACCGCTCTTGTGGTTTCCACGCTTCCAAAGGAACACGGCATCCTGGAAAAAGCTAAGGAGAGACTCCCTGATACCTCAACATACGTACAATTGTTTCCTTTCTCTAAAGAAGAAAGCAGGTACATCTTGAGGTCCTGGCTTGCAACTGCCAAAAAAAGTGTCACGAACTCTCAGTTCGAGTTGATTGATGAGGCGGTAGCTGTCTGCAGCCTCCCTTTGTTCCTAAAACTTGTCTTCGACCAGGCCACACAATGGCACTCTTACCATCCCCTCGACAGATGTATTCTCAAACCAGGTATTCAAGACATGATCAATCTCATATTCGGAAAACTTGAAGAGTACCACGGCCAAATGCTTGTGTCGAGAGCCCTCGCATACATTACCTTATCGCCCACTGGTCTTACAGAGACAGAGCTAGAAGATCTCTTATCCCTAGACGATGACGTCCTAAATGATGTCTACCAATACTGGATGCCGCCTGTTCGTCGAATCCCGCCATCCTTGTGGACAAGAGTCCGGAACGACCTAAGTTCTTACCTCGTGGACAGAAATGCAGATGGTGTGACAGTGATGTACTGGTATCATCGCCAATTTATCGAGACAGCACGTCAGAGGTACCTCAACGACGATAGCCTAAAGAAAAAGCTCCACAAGACTTGCGCTGAATATTTTGACGGCACCTGGTCAGGTGGTCGGAAAAAACCCTGCCGATATTCTGCTCTGCAGGTCGAGCGCTTTGGAATTCCAGCAGAGGCAGAAGAAGATCGCAAAGTTTCAGATCAGCCCTTGACTTTCTCTGGAGCTTTACACGCAAGTGCAGGTACTGTGACCTTCAACCTCCGAAAACTGACCCAGCTACCGTTTCATCTGATAGAAATGGAAGAGTGGAATACACTGAAGATTTCTGCACTTCTGAACTTTGATTTTTTGCTCAGCAAAGTAAAGGCCCTCTCTATGCAAGATGCCTTGGCAGATTTCCAAAAAGCAGAAGAGAAGATAGATGATGCAGAAATCAGCACACTTTTTGGAGCCCTTCGGCTGTCGTCGTCCGTCATTTCAAATAATCCTGACCAGTTAGCGCCAGAATTAATCGGAAGACTGATGGATGCTGCTTCTAAATTCCCAAGAATGGAATCCCTTCTCGCGCAAGCTAAAATTGCTGGGAGTCTATCTCACCCACTCCTGCCATTGAGCACTTGTCTTCAACCGCCTGGTGGTATGATGCTGACGTCACTTGAGGGCCACACTGAGGAAGTCGTTTCCTTAGCAATCACAAGTGATTCACGGTTGGTTGTAACCGGCTCGAAGGATAACACGGCTCGCATCTGGCAGATAGAAAATGGCACATTGGTGCACGTACTGACTGGTCATAGGGAAGCTGTGTATGGCATCGAAATTACACCAGACGATCAGAGTTGTGTGACGTACACCCACAATGGGGAGTACATGAAGTCAGGCAAAATATGTGTCTGGAATATGGAAACAGGAGATCTGATTCACCGACTAAAAGGGCACACTGGGAAAAGCAAATCAAATCTGGCAATTAGTTTGGACGGGAAGTACGCTGTCACCGGCCTACAAACACTGGTTAGCTATGACGAGGCAAGTAATGATACAGACAACGAGGAAGACGAGATCATTACTGACTCAAAGCAAAAACACAAGGATGCAAAGAGGAAGGAGTTGATGCCAAAAGAGGATTGGGATGAGGAGGAATATAAAAATGAAAGAAGGCACGTTGTAATCTTTTGGAACTTAGAGTCAGGACAAGTCATGCACTGGCTGAACCACCACACAGGTGAGTTTCAAACTTCACTTTAGAAAAAGTTGGCCTTCAGTTTAAGTAAACTTTTCAAACAATTTTAATGTTACCCCCCTCCTCTAACTGTGAACAACACTCATCAAAAACTCATGACGCTTACTCATATGGCAATATTCTTGTGTTTTGTTTTCTGAATGATTTTAGACGACATTATGGGGGTCCTGACAACGGAGATCGATTGCCGACAAGTAGCGATAACATTTTCTCATGATCGCACTCTCGTTCTTTGGGACATACTAAAGGGTGAAACGATTCGTGAAATGGATGACGCAAACGGGTTTTCCATCCGGAAGGTGGCACTATCTGAAGACAAACGACTTCTCGCCGTGCATGGCTGTGAAATTTCACTGCACAGCTTCCCTGACTGCAAGTATCTTGGAGACACTAGAGACCCCAAATCGAGCTCCACGGTAGAAACCATGTACATTACCGGGGACAACACTCGTGTCATATCTGGACACGTCTGCGGTATGGTAAGAATGTACGGAACCGGAAAAAATACAGAGAGAACACTTCTCAAGCGACAGGACTGCTTTGAGAGAGATGGAGACATTACTAGCATGGCCGTAACACCAAATGAAATGTACGTATGCCCCGTTATCTTTTATTTGGACGAGTACGTTCAGCATCAACACATAAACATGTTGATTCACATTCGGAAATTGTCAGTCTTACAATCGCAAAGAAAATGTTTTTCAATCTTCTGACATTTCTTTCGCGCAGCGTGGTTGTCCGCTCTGAGCGAGAATAAGAGAGGGCGCGCTTTTACTTTGAAATTGCTGTCCTGTTACTCCGCTATTGGACTCCGCCACATTAGCGCGTAGTCTTATGAGCACTTGGCTCAGGGCGTGTTCAGAACGCGCAACCAATAATTATGACGGAATGTATGGTCTTGGCTAGTCCAGATTCTGGCCGAATTTTTCGTTTCTTCCACCGCCCTCATACATGTACATGCATTTGCATTATGGAATGACGTGACGCACACTTTACCAAAGAAAAATTCAGATTCTGCATGTGTGACCGCCCTCTTTCGGTGGATAATTTTGCAAAATGCACTGCCATTCTGTAGACTGTAATTACGCACACAACACGAACGCGGTCCAGAAAGTGGCGCCACTACGGGGGAGTGCTTCCGCCTCCCCCCCATTTGCAATCTATGCATGGTTTCCGTTAAAATGAAGCTGCGGTTTATTTTCCTGAAGTGTTCCCTTAAAAAAATGTAAACCCTTGGACCCCCAATTTAGGCGTACTACGTCAATGCGCGTGTGTGAACTTAATTTAAAAAAAAAAGGGATCCCGTATTTTCTCCGTTTCCTGGTAAGGGTGGTCTTCTGTTCGAGGCGGATGCTGATATTTTTTTCTTCGATTCGCTCTCTTGCTAGGTACGTGGTTGCTGCATTGAAAACATCTGAAGCCGTAGTGTTGAATCTGGAAACACTGGAAGTGAAAGCTAAACTTCCGCACATCCAAAACGTGTCGATTGTTGCTGTGACACCAGATGGTTCCAAGATTCTCACAGGATCAGAGGACAAGAACGTCCGCATCTGGGACGTTGCTAATCTCAAAACATCCAACTCGAGTGACGAACCAGGACTGCCGATCAGCAAACACGACGGTTACCCATATGAAGCACTGACCTTAAATTCTGACGACAAAGTTATCACAACGGGAAGTGATAAAACGATCAAACTGTGGGATGTACGGAGTGGGAAGATGATCAAGTCCATCAAGGACCCGATGGACGGAGCTTGCCATGCTGTGGCCATCAGTAGGGATGACACCTTCATGGTCGGATGTAGCAAGGGATGGTATGTCCTCAGCTTACCTGACTTTGCAATCAAGAACACATTCAAAGATCGATGGATGATACCAACTCATTGTGTGATCAGCCCCGAAGGCCGCCGGCTCATAGCAGGGCTAGGTCAGCCGCAGTTTGAAATCCGCTTCTTTTATCTCGAGTCGGGGCAGACGCTTCAGATCATCCGGTTGAGATCCTATTCCTTTCACATGCTAAGGCGTGGCGTGTTCGTCAACCAGTATGTGTCTGGCATGTTTGACCCCTCGGGAAAGACCAGGATACTACAACTCATCGAGAGCAAACATGGGCGAGTGATTGGTGAGCTTCGTCATGTCGATCAGGTTTTATCTGTTGCCGTCTCACCTGACGAACGAAGACTTCTCGCTGGTTGCGGCGACCATAATGTCCACTTGTGGAACCTCGCGTCCTTCTCACATGTCACGACTCTGGAAGGACATTCGAAATTCGTCAAATCAGTAGCATTCTCTCCAGATGGAATCCTTGCAGCATCTGGGGCTAACGGCGGGGAAGTCATTATCTGGGACATCCAATTTCAGTCCTTGAAGCAGTCCATGAAACATGCGCATGAATCTGATGTCTCAAAGGTGATATTCAGTCCTGATGGCCGATTTCTAGTGTCAAGTGCAGAGGATGATAACTATATTCAAGTGTGGGACGCCCAGAACGGGAAACACTTGATGAAATACAACACCTATGCTAAGATCAGTTCCATAATAATGTCAGGTAAATGCAACACTACCGTTGTAACACTACTGGATGGAAGAGTAGCCTTTCTTGAATTCTCGGCCAGTTTGCTCTCAGCGGCCACCAGTGAGAAGTCTGCCCTCCATCCGATTGCTGATGCCTCAATGAGCCTGAACTCAACGTCGGCTCGAAAGCAAATGCCTTATTACCGACCCGAAAACCAGTTACTTAAAAGTAAAACCTGCCACCTTTTGTGAAGCTACATGAACGCTATAACGGGAAGGAAACCAAAAAACAGCACCACATTGGAGCTTCCCTAACGCTTCTTAAGTTCAAATTTCACGAGGTTAACACGGGGGCTTACTTAGCACACAAAAATGCAAAAATTTTATGTCAGGGAATCATTCAGAAAGGAACTATCAGCATAGGTCCCTGTGGATATCCATCGTAGATTCGATATTCAAATCCATTACAGGCCGTTCCCTTTTATCTCCCAAAATCTGCCGTCCTCTGGGACTATTGGGGTGCATTCTTTGAAAAGATGTGACCTTAATCGGTGCATAGTCACGCCAATGCCTTCCTGAAAAAAAAAACCGCCTGCAACCGGTTCGTTTTATCATGGCTGGTCTTTTTACTCTGCAACGAGATATACAGCAGGCCAATTTTGGCTGTTATTCTGCATACCCCCCCCGACTTTAAAGGTCGCTGGGATGGGCAACTGTTTTTCTAAAGCGCTGACGTTATAAGGCATCATGAGTTGCTCTTGGGTTTGGAGTGTACCTTAATTCATTAAGCGTGCCCACGTCACGCGCGCGGGAGTTCCACTGATGGAGTTACACATGTACTAGTACTGAAACGGTTTTTATCAACTGAGAAATGTGACTATTCTGGTGTCCTGTAAGCAGTTAGGGACTAGGGAAATCTGTATGGACTTTTACTCTTTTCGACGTATCATCATGATGAAGTATTGCGCACTTGTTATTTTGTTTCACTCCTTTTTTGAAAGATAGATAGCAGATATAAGTACAGTTACTGTGTGAATACATGTACATGTAAATGAGTCCACTATTCGATGCTATGTATTCCGATTTTATTTCGCTCATTCCCTAATTAAATGAAATACAGTCCGAGTCAAATTAATGTACAAAATCACTTACACGTGAACGTATTGCATGAAATGTACAATGAAAAAATTCATCTAAAATACACATTTAAAATGTTATAATTTGGTAATAAACATGAACCTTCTTTCTTTGATGAGCAGGGCTGAAAATGTGTTTCTCCTCGAGTTGAATGTATAAATGAAACTTCTGTTTACAGGCGCATCATTCTGTCACAAGACCAAAATTCACCCAAAACGCATTCAAGCAAACCTGGTGTTATGGTATTCGGTTGTTAGTTCCCAACGAAGAACGGCTTGAGTTTTCAACAATTTCAAACTAACAAAGACGAAACAAAAACCCAAAGCAAACCCCTCCCTAAAATCAAAAATAAAACGACAAAGCAACCAAATCAAACTGAAATTCACAATAAACTGAATCAACAGGCTTAAGGATAAAAGTCATTGACCACACTTAAAATAGCTAACTTAAAATAATAAATGACAGAATACAGAGTCCACGCTACGACACGTTGTACAAAATAATGAAGTCCAACAGCCTTATACGCTATGCGTACCTATACTATACAGATTTCTTCTCTGCGGCTTTCCCAGTCTAATTTTTCAAAGCCCCTAGGCATGCAGCATTCAATTTCAGTTCCGTTTGTTTCGAACACAGCCCTTTCGCTGCAGGACTGCTTCCGTTTACACGAGCACATCTTAAATTTAAAATATTAATAATATACGAAGAAAATACATTCCATAGCCAGATGAAATGAACACCCACACATACAAGGGTTAAGGTGAGGTTTAGGACGGGTGCAGATTAATACCATCATATAACAAAACACAATGGAATCTCTGTCCTTTTTGCATTAAGATGACCAGTCTGATTGATGCTGGTGCCACCTGTCCGACTGACATGTCAAAATGTGCAGAAGGAAAAGCTGGTTCAACCCCGCTTGATTTATATTCTGAGGGATTCTAAGAATTACAATACAGGGTCCCATAAAAAAAGGCGAATGTCTTTTTGTGGTGTGCTTTACTTGTAAGATTTCCCACCGCCTAACATGAACTGTTTGTGGATTATACACAGTTGAGAATGGCCAATACACAGTACAATATGACACAGCTCTGGGTAGTCCTGGGACGCCAGTAAAACAAACCCAAACATGTTTGCTCCTGTTCCTCTGCGTGGTTTGACCCCCAGTGGCGTATTCAGGTATTGGGCATGGGAGGCAAACTGAAAATTAAAAAAAAATTCATTCATGCATTTAAAGAGGCCTCATTCTTGCCCTTTCAAAAAAAAATGGGTAACTTTTAGGCCCCTAATAACTTTGACGCACGACATCACCGACTACCGTCCAATCCTACATTTTGAACTCGGCAGACAGTGGAACACAATTCTCCTTTGAACCCTTGCTAAACTTCAGTGACAGTCCACACATTGTGGCACTCAGTAATGCCTTTCTGCTCATCAGACATGGTTTTAACCGCTGCTGTCTCCAACGAAAACAGTTTGGAGTTTCAAAAACGCAAGGTTGTGGAAGAGCTCCATGCTCGAACAAATCAAGCATGCGCGAGTTGGCTTATGGCCGTGCTGATAAGGCAGACCAAAGCTGTTTATAGAGCGAGTTCCGAGATGAGTGTCTTGCTTGTTGGAACCAAAATGGTGGATCATGCGTCAATGCACATGGGTAATTAACACAAAACAGCTGCATGCTGCACTGCACATCTAATGAACAGCCATTTTGGTTCCTAGGTCAGAAGTTGGCGCTACTCTCCACATACCTAGGTAGACCGATTTGCTGAGGCCATGCGGTGTTCCTGTCACTCAGGCGCGCATTCCTAAGCGCGTGATTTTGGTTAGCAGTGCAGCTGCAGGCACCAATTGGCTGATGAGGAAGCATTTAGTGTGCATCTCTTTTGTTCATGCGCGTGGAGACACCGCAGTAATGATTCCTGATTCATGTCACCGGTTTGGTCTATATACAGCTCTGGGGCAGACCTCGCGCACGCGTATGTCCGTTCCCAAATGACCACACATTTTGGGCGAGCGCTGTTGGAATATAGAACTGCCTCATTGGTCTGAAATTACAGCCAATGCACTGTGGTGCTCCACGTTAATGTATTTTATGGTTTTTGTTTTCAAAACGGCACTTACATGGAAAAGGAAATTTGTCAGTCCATAATCAAATCTATTATACCTTATAATTCCTTATCAAAGAAACGTTTTTAATTATAGCGAAAGCAACAACATTGTTACTATTCTTTCTATTTCATTTAAAAAAGAGACAGTTCATTTACAGATTGCAAAAAAAAAAACTAAACTAGGAAACGGACTGACAGATGTCCCCTTTCACACAGAATACCAAAACTCAACATACTGTAAAGATGGATATTGGGGGAAAAGTAAATCCGAAGTACCAAATTTTAAAAAAATGTCACCATCTACCGGTATTTACACTAGATAGTTTTATACATAAATCTGGGAATAGCTTTGTTTATATACACTGAACATTGGTTTGCTGAAAAATTGAACCAATCAGTGTTTTCAGTTGTTTTTTTTTTCGCATGTCATTCTGCCTTGGTGAAAACAAATTTTTTTTGGGGGGGGCCGCTTGATATTTGTTGGTTTATATCACAGCTACTTAATCATCTTCAGTTAACCTCTAAAAAAGTTTCCTAAACTTCCATATTATACCGTTAAATCTTTCCAACATCTGGCAAATGGTTAGATATCTAGGGGGGGGGGTAAATTGAGTTGGTCGATTCTTAAAATAGACAAATGTAAATTCCATTTGATATTGTATTCCATCACTGCAAAGACACTGATTTGAACGGATACAAAAGGACCAATGTTACAAATAACTTCCTCTTACCCCCTCAAAAAATAATAATAATAAAAAAATAAAAACACAGTGGTAAATTTTGCAATAAATGTTTCAAATGTTACCAAGCTTTGCATTACATTTTTTTCTGTCCAGAAAACTACATGTATTTGTTCCAAATGTTGGCTTGGGGCACACCACAGCATGCCAGCTAGCATACAGGTATTTCAGATCTCATACTTCTATGTGCCTCTGCAACCATTATACGATCAAAGGTGGACCTGAGTTCCTTGAAATACTGTACATTGGAACACGGAGGGCCATGGGCCCCCTCTCTCCCTTTGTATTTTTGCATTTCAATAAACCTACATGAGGATCTGCCACTGAAGGTGATGCATGTTTAAGAGACAGAGCTAATTGTCAGGTTCATCTGTAAGTGCAGGAAGAATTTGAAGACCTGTTTTTTCGATCTATCAAAGACAAAGATGTACACTTGGTTATTGTACAACTATCGCTCCCTCTGATGATAACCTATAGAATTCCTGACAGAATTCTAAGGTTGCCATGGGCCATGTAGCCAACTGATTAAATGTACCTTTTATACAAGCAAAACTATCAAACAATGGGTGAGGAGTGCCTCCGGCCCTTCTTTGAACTTGGCGGACTCGGGGTCGACGAGACATCACTCACATCTGGGCCCGCCTCCTCGGTTGTGCCAGGATCAAAGTCATCCTCAGAGTCTTCCTCTGAGGACTCGTCCTCGGACATCTCCCGGATGTCACCCGGCTTCTGGAAGTTGATTTTGACCAGGAGCTTCTGCAGCTGCTGGGCCCGACTGGCCTTCTTTGAGCCGGTGTCCGGTGGGGGCTTCATGACTTTACGCTGCTGCTTCCCCTTCTTGGCCTTGCTGACCGCTTGCTTCCCCGGGGACTTTGTCCCACCTGCGCTGTTCTTCCTCGGTCGTCCCCTCTTCGGCGTTACCTTTTGCACCTTTGACTTTCCCACTGTTTTCTTCTTTGGGGTGGTCTTCTTCTTCTTCTTCTCCAGCTTGACGGGCGTCGTCAGTTTTCTGAATCTGGCTGGGGTGGCGGAGGAACCTGTGTGCTTGAAGCTGAAGTCATCAATAGACAGGGAAGAGCCTGTCTCTTCCAGATAAGCATGAAGTTGAGGCCGTGACCGGAATTTTTTTCCTGTTGGGCTGGGTGCAAATAAACAAGATACACTTAGCTGTAGCTTCATAAACATTAAGGCAACACAATTTTAATGTTCTAGCAATTTACTGTACTTGTATAAGGTTACTGCCATTGAAGTGCTTGCACAATGCAAGTGAAATCTAACTGAATCCAAATTATCCTCAACTCAAGCTTGCTTTGTGCGCAAGTTGGAAAAGTACCCACATTGTTCACTAATCTTAAATATTTCATAATGGCAACCAGTCTGATTTGAATAAAACAAACAATAAGTTTAACAGAAATGTTTCACTGTAGCTTTTCTGTTCGTCTTTGGTGTTCTAGCCATCAGCAGATCAGAACGCCATAAAATCTGCATGATGTTAATGTACAGGTACATAGTACGATGCAGATTTCTATGGGCATCATTGCATGGGTCATGCGTCAGGGACCAGACATACTGCTGGGCTATGTGTAACCTCTTTCCCTCTGTGCTGAACAATGCTAATATACAAGTCAGTCGTTGAATGTAACTGAAACTATCGTAATCATGCACTGCCTGTGGGGCGTTGTTTTTTCACTCGCGTATACACACCTTGACACCGTTTTGCAGTGAGTTTTAACTGACCGAATGGTGGGATATTTTGTGCATGATTTTTCATCATCATGAATGTTCACCACCATAGCAGAAAAGTCTGCACTCTTTCTTAAGAACTGAGCGGCTGTCATCCAATATGATATACTGAATTACAAAATTAGGGCAAGTTACATTTTGTTGCGCAAGTCGTTTCAAATGCCAACTTTTGCACGGCACAAGTTACAATTTTTTGCAATTTTGAGCCGTTTTAAGGTAGCTGTAAAGTTAAAGTAATAATTGCAGGAAATTATTAAACTTCAAAGTGTGAGTTCTGATGCTTGTTAAAAGGCACAGGGAAAAAACTTTTGGTTGAAATATCAACCCAGGAAAGACAGTCTGGTTGAACAGCAGCCATTTGGAAACTGCACCTCACACACTAATTCTTTAGTATACAGAAACAAAAGAAATACCCCACAAGAATACAATGGAATGGTCTGTAAGTTGAGGTACATGTATGTAACTTTCAACAAAAGTGCCCAAAATTGTTGTGTAAGGCATAATAAAATGGAACGCATGAGTAAAAAGATAAATTACACCAGACAAAGATTAATTAAATAGCCTAGCAATGGTCTTGATGGGCCTGCATATTGGAATAATACACAAAAACTGCCCTTAGCATGTCCAGTCATAAGTGGTAGTCACAATGTCAGGCTATTTGTACATGTGCGTGTATTGCTTGTGACTAGCTGTTTTGCTACTAGGTATTTTTTTCCAGAGAAAAAAATATTCTTCTCATCTTTACCTCCAAATGTAAACATCAAACCTTCCAGCCGTCCCCCCTTGCATTCTCTGAGTAACAACACGCCTCCATCCCTCTGGTACGAGTGGCTCGTCCCCAGTCGCAGTGACTACAGCCTGCGGTGGAGGTGTCCTTGGGGTGGTCTTTGGTGACTTCGGTGCTGCTGGTGATTTGGCAACCTGGGTCTTCTTGGGCGCAGCCCGCCTCTTAACGGGGGTGTTCACTACAGAGTCAGGACCGTCACTGTCCTCTCCTGCTTTTCGTTTTTTCACGGGCTGCCTTTTATGGTCTGTCTCTGTTGGTGCCACTTTGACCTCAGCAGCAGTTTCTGCCTCTGCTGAGGGAGTGGATGGCGATGTGGATTCAGCTTCGGCGGGGACGTTTGCCTCCAACTCAGGTATCCTTTTCTCATCGAGATCCTGTTCTTCTTCAGTTGTGTCACTTGAAGTTAATGTCTTGGTTTCACTCTCTGCTTTAGCCCTCTCTGCTGCCAAGAGAGCTTCCTGTCTCCTGGCCTCCTCCTCCATCTCGGCCCGATGGCGCTTCTTGGGTGTCAAGGGCCTGGTGGAACTTGAGACAGGCACAACAAGAGGGCTAATCTTACAGATTGGAGAAACATCACTCTCACTGGATCCTGAGGATGAGCTACAAAATAAAAAAGAAAAAAAATCCAACTACTACTTGAATTTCAACTTTCATACACGCAAGACGTACACGCACATGTACACTGCAGTCAACTGTTCCTGCTTGTGTTGCAATTTGTTTTCCATTACGGCTGAGCAATCCAGCAGAATTTACCCAAAACATCAACGTTAAAACAATGCGAGCACTCTGAGTACAAGATGGCTCTGTACTGCTTCTGAGCTTATGCACATACATGCATGCACATGCCCATGTACATATAAATGCTAGCACAAGCCGTGTAAATCTTGGTGTGCCAGGCCATTGTTGCAGGCGCCTTTGGTACACATTGCACGCAATGTGTGTGGAACATTAACAACTGCAAGGACATACATGTACATGTACGGTACAGCAGAAGATATTGATTTATGAAGTTTGTAACTTTTCTGTCACTGGATAAGACTTAAGCCTATGCATGGTGGAAGTACTCAATAGGTTAGGCTTGCGGTTGCACCATGTAGAAAAATATCTCTTATATGAGTGTATGCTCTGGTCGTCTTGAGGAGGGTGAGTCCTGAAGACGAACACAGCATACTGTTCAGAACATCGAGTGTTCACCATCGATTCTTCTCAGAACCACAAACTCATATAAGACATATTTTCTACATGGTGCAACCGCAAACCTAACCTATTCATTTTCTGTCACTGCTGTCTACTGTATCTACACAGTACACCTGACAGATGATTGTGGCGGGATTCCAGTCCAAATTTTCATGGTTTTTACTTCATGACCCAATTTCAACTTGAATGATTTCAATGAACTCTCAAATTGATCAGAAGTAAGGACTGAGGACATCACCCTTCTGTGTGTTCATGTGGTTGCACACTGCACAGGGCAACACAGTGTCCAGCTGTTCACTTCCAATTCGTGTGTGTAGCACCAGAGATTGCTAGGGCAGATTGATGTGACTATAGGATGCATGTTCAATGATGTTATGGGTATTATACATGTACACATCTCTGCAGTGCAAATAATGTGTTGTATCAGTCATGTGACTGTCACATGTGCATGTCAGAATAGCTCCTGAAAACTGGAAATACAGTTTATTGTCAAATACAGGCCTTCCTTAATATTTATGCAATTTTTAGTCAGGGCAACTGAAAACGAGGCTGTAGGGGACTCGTTTGTCATGATAGCTGTAAATGGAGGGGATCTTTTCTGAGTTCCTGAGATAATGTTCGGGTTGGTGGAGGATAAAAGCAGTGGAGAGCAACAGCTTGGTAAAAGCTTCAAGTATTTTCCAGAAGCCTACATTCATAATCTGAAGAGTATGCAATTTTTTAACAGGATTTTATCTGGGACTTCTTGTTGACGTTGCATGCATGCACCACTCGTGTCTAGGACTACAGTAAATGGCTGGGTGTCACCACCATCGAGCTTTACAGAATTACAGATGTTATTTCATTATGCTGAGTGCGATCAGTCATGGAGGAAGGAAAACACTGGATCAATCAAACTGCACTGAAGTGCAATAACGTGTAGAGTGTAAAAGTAGGGCCAGTGATTACGATTTTTTTATACGAACATCTCACATTAAGTGCCAAAAAAGTCATTTCAAAGTCAAATCTGCCTTGTATAGTGGCCCCTCGTCTCCGTTTATCTTAACAATCAGCAGAGTCCCCTACAGCCTCGTTTTCAGTTCCAGCGCATAAAATTTGCATAAATATTAAGCAAGGCCTATTGGTTGGATCTGAAGGGCTCACAAGCTGAATACATTGACTGCCATCATCTAAGGGGCCATTGGTAGTTACACGTACATGTATGGGTCTACCAATACTCGCCCACAAGCAATAGCCGTATTATTAATGGACATTTGTAACTTGCCAAAAACTGCCAAAATGATGTTCGGGACGCAATACAATTAAGTACAAATTTATGAAAAGAACATTAAAATAGATAGAAGAAAGAAAATAAATAGTGAAAGGCGGTTCCTACCGAACATTAACCACTACCAGCCGGGGACTCCGAAATCGGAGCCGTATGGTTTATATGTGTGGCCGGGGTCTCCGAACTTGGACAAAGGAAATAGGGCCCTGTAACAAAAGACCATACTC